AAACTAACAGTAAAACAATTATCGTAATATGTCTAAAACTCACTTATTTGGTTAAAGTAAATAAAACAATTAATATAAGAAGGGGTGTCAGATCTTTATCCTACAGGGGGCATCCAAAGGGGAATTTAAATTTTCTAAGACATAAAGCAGTATCTGTTTCTCAGTCAGAGCTTCAGAATTTGTCACTATAGCAGTGTGCTTAGTCATGTCAGACACTGAGGCGCAGCTGACTCCCAACAGTACTTAATATTTATAGAATCTATCGATATTTATAGAGACTTCTGGGATGAGATAATAAAATTATCCCTGCCCCCAAATAATTGACAATATAATCAAGGATTATAGTTTTTTTGTAAATTTATTTACTGAAAATATATTCATTACTGATTTACTTTTTTCTGCTTCCTTTGGATTTAATTTACTATTCTTTATCTTGTTCCCTAAAATGGAAACAGAAAATTTACTTTTCATCTTTCTTATGTATGAATTCAGCGCTGAAAATCTTCCTTGAAGTACTGCTTTCACTGCATCCCACATATTTTGAAAAGGTGTATTTTCATTTAGTTCAACATATTTTTAAATTTCTCTTGTGATCTTCTTCATTGGCCCATATGTCATTTAGAAGTATGTTGTTTAATTTTAATATACTTGGGGATTTTCCAGCTCTTCTATTATTGATAGCTAGTTTAATTCCACTGTGGCCTGAAATAGACATTGTATGCTATCCAGTCTTATATATTTATTAGGTATCTTTTATGGCCTAGAATGTGGTCTGTCTTGGTGAATATTCCATGAGACCTTGAGAAGAATGTGTAATCTATTGTTGGATGAAGTAATACATAGATGACTGTTACCTAGTTGACTAATGGTGCTGTGAACTTCAATTGTTTCCTTACTGATTTTCAGTCTGCTGGAACTGTCCTATTCTGAACGTGCTGAAATCCCTAGCTATAGTAGTGGATGCATCTATTTCTCCTTTCGAATTATGTCAGTATGGCTTCAGGTATTTTGATGCAGTTTTTAGGAACTTCCAGATGAAGGATTGTTATGCCTTCTTGTAGAACTGTCCCTTTATCATTTGTTGAGAGCCGTCTCAGAGAGTGAGACTCTAGGGTGACTGCAGGTGGAGAATGGCGGGTGGCTACAGACCCCCCATGTTCTGTGTGCTGAGAAAAAGGCTGCAAAACTGCATGTTGGGTGAAAAGCAAAAGGGAAACTACTGAAAAGGCCAGTAACCCAGCAATGCCCAGTTCATCTCCTGTGCCATGGAAAGGCAGAAGTTCCTGAACGACAGCCACCGGACCCTCAGATGTCACTGTCTAATTATGGACTAATGAACTTTGGAACTTTCCACCATGGACTTGCTGACAGTTGCTGTTTGCCTCAGTTTCACCTTACTTAAAATATATCATTAGTCTATGCTATGTAATTATGTAACTTGTTGCCAAGAGATTATCTGACTTCCAAACCCCTGCGTCAGGAACATTGATTCTTCATTCCCCAAAAACCGCCTACCAAATCCCCTATGCTTATCTAAGAAATTATTTCTGGTAAAAGAGGAACTTGCTCTGAATATAAGCGGTGCTCCTTTTAATGCTGTCATGTCCTGCTATCCGCAGTTAGTGAGCCTCCTAATCCCAACTTTGGTGTCTGTGCCATCTCTTTCTTTTCTCAATTCCTTGCGCCGATCAGTCCTGCTCAGAGACCTATCGGTGGGTGCCTCGCCTGATCACCCAGGTGCCCCGGCTGTCCAGCCGGCTGCTGACCATCATTATGTAATGCCCCTCTGTCCCTGATTATTTTCCTTGCTCTGAAGTCTGCCCTACATGAAATATTTTAGCTTCAGCAGCTTTCTTTTGATTAGTGTTAGCATGGTATATTTTTCTTCATTACTTTAGTTTTTTACTTATTTTTTAAATGAAGAATGAATATTTTAATTGAAACTTATTCACATACCATAGAAGTCACCCTTTTCAAGTGTCAATTCAGTGAAAAATATTTTAAAACAAAAAACAATAATGTGGTTGTTTAGCTATACCTTTTTGTGTTACTGTGCTTGACCATACCAGTTTTAATATGTGCATAGTTGTCCATTGGCTGTATTATAATATCTTATTTAGTTAAAACTCTTTTTGAAGACATTTAGGATGTATCATATTTATTCTATTATATACAATACTTAACGAATGTCTGAGTAGCATTATCTTTTTTCATATCCACCATTTCTTTTATTTTACATTTTATTGCAGTAAAATGACATATAACATTATATTAATTTCAGGTGTACAACATGATTCAATAGTTGTATATATTGCAAAATGATCACCACAAAATAATCTTAACATTTGTCATCACATATAGTTACAAAATTATTTTTTCTTGTGAGAACTTTTTAGATCTACTCTCTTAAAAACTTTCAAATATGCAGAACAGTATTATTAACTATAATCACCATGCTGTACATTACCTCAGCATGATTTACTTATTTTATACCTGGGAATTTGTACCTTTTCAATCTCTTCATTCATTTTGCCTGCTACCCATCCCTACCTCTGGTAACCACCAATCTATTTTTTTCTATCTATGAGTTCACTTTTGTTGTGTTTTCTTTTTTAAGATTTTATTGGGGAGTTGGGGGAGGAGAACATTGTTGGAGAGTTGGGGGAGGGGAGCAGACAAGTTACTGTCCTTTTGTTCTTCAGTCTAGTTGTGGAGGACGTTGCTTCACTGGCCCAAGTTGGCACCATCATTGCGCTCTTCCTGGGCAAGGCAGTCGCTCACTGGCCATTGGATGGCTGCTCTCAGCGGCTCATGGCAGCTCACGCCAGCTGCTGGCCAGCTCCACTGCAGCCTTCACCGTCGCTGGCGACTCATGGCAGCCCAAGTCCAGGTTGAGCTGTTGTTCACCATCTTAGCTGTAGAGGGCGCAGCGTCACTGGTCCTCATGTGGGATCCGAACCGGGGCCCTGCCGCTCAGAGCTGGAGTCCCAAGCCAACTTTTAACCAACATGCCACTCTGCCTGCCTTGTTTATTTGTTTTTTGATATATATTTGTGTACCAATGCAGTGAGGAAACACATAAAGTCAACTTCAGCTTTATTTGAAGAAATGAGATCTCTGCTGTTCAGTGTTGATGTGTGTTGGTCATCCAGGAATTTTGTTATGAGTTTATGAGCTAAAAACTTTAACTTTTGTTACTAGTGCATTAACATTGGATCAGTTGTAACAATTGTACCACACTGATGCAATGTGATAATAGGGGAAACTGAAGGTGGGTAGAGGGAATACATGAGAACTCTATGTACTTTCCACTCAATTTTTTCTGTAAACCTAATGTTTATTAGGTTTATTAATTAAAAAAATACTTGACTCTAAAAAAAGAATGGGGAAAAAGACATTTGTATATGACTGTCACTTTGCAGATTTCTCGCAGAATTGTTTTTGACTTTAAAAGCTGGATTCTATAGCTAAAACTTTTGATCACACCACTGTCGTCTTGAATCATTTTTACTTATGTCTTAGGTATAGTCTCTCATAAGTCCTTGTTATAAATTGGAATTAGCCTACATTTAGATCACATTGGAAAAGTAGGTGTTTGAAAGGAGAGCCTGAAGAAAGACTTCTTAAGAGCTTTTCTAAATAGGGAGTCCAAATGATGGATGCATTGCATGCGTGGCCCTTCATTTTAGTAGCTATAGAGCTTGATGAGTTTGTAAGGGTTTATGCATATCTACTTATTCCATATGTGGCTCTTTCTATTTGGAAGACTGGTTTACTTACAGTTTAGGTTAGTCTTTCTCAAGGTGTCCATGAATTACCTAGGTGCATGCTAAATTACAGATTCCTTGGCCAGCAGCCCAGAGACTCTGATGATATAGATATGATATGGAGACCAGGAAATGTGCCTGTTGATTAATTCCTTGGGTGATATTTAGAGTTTGAGGATTATACTTGTAGGCCTTGGCCAGGAATTAAAAGTAGCCAATATTTTTAAAGAATCCAAGGAGTTATTTTGATTTTCACATTAATTCTCATTTGAATCATGCTAACCCAGTTTTCCCCCATATGGTAGAAATAGATTCTTCCAATGGAAAGGGTGCTTAATCTTACCAAACGCCCTCAGCTAGGCCACTGGAGCTTATATATTCTCTTCTAAGCCATCACTGGACTGCCGTTTATAAAAGCTGAAATTACCCACAGTAAGGAAAATTTCATATATATGACAAATACTATATAAAATTATGCAAAACAGCTCTGACCCAGAAGTTTTAGATAAACTTAGTCAAATTTTGAAGCTATGAGAATTGTAGATCTTAATTGCCTAATCGAATTGAACATAAATGTAATGTGATTGCAAATTATCTCTTCAGGAAATAAATATTTATAACAGCTGAAGCCCAGTATTGCACCTTAATTTCATTTCACTGCCTTTTTTAGCCTCTCCCACAAAAAAATTCCCCTTTCCTGACATGGAGTTCATCATTCAATGCATTTCTTTGTTCAACAGCATTTTAAAATCAAAATTATTACACAAAGTATGCTAAGGTATACTTGTCTTTGTATTTTTTTTCAGTTGTCTTGCCAAGAGGTGATTTTCTTTTTATTAGTTTCAATGGGAGAAGATATTTGTCAATGATACATTTGATAAGAGGTTAATATCCAAAATTTATAAAAAATTCATTCAAGAGGTGATGTTTTTATTGCAACTATTTCATTGAATTTCATTTTCTCTAAGTATTCTAGGAAAATTAAAGTTTTTCTTCCTCTTACTGATTAGTTTATTGGTGAGGGCAATGATAGATTTTAAATTATAGTGTTATAAGCCTTAGTCATTTAAGATGCTTTGGGATAGAAGCTGTATGGGAAGAAGATTTTTTTTTAAATTAACTTTTCTACCCATTTTTATTCTTACTATCTATTAGCAAATATTTTTGTTTACATATAGATTTATTTTTGGAAGTTGAAAAAGCTTTTGATAGAAGTTTACCATTTTTTTCTAGATGTTTCATGGAACTATCACAAAAGAGCTAACCAGTCATGAAGAATGGAGTCATTATACTGAAAACGTTATAGAAGAGCAGAAAGATTTTGTTTTCGTGAAGTTCAGTGGTCTTCATTTAAAATCTATGAAAAATTTGCAATCTTCTATCTCTCTTAGAATATGCATCTTCTCAAACAATTTTATTACAGATATTCGTGCACTTCAAAATTGTATAAAATTAATCAAACTTGATCTCCATGGAAATCAGGTAAGTAATAGCCATTTCAGGTATTTGCATATAAATTAAATTATATTTAATAGGCATTTATCTATCCGTACTATTTCTCCCAGATAGTCTTTTGTATAAAATAGAAACAAAAATTTAAGCATAAATAAAAATATGAAATGTATAAATACAAAATTTTAAATATAGCAAAATTTTTAAATTAAAAGTATATAAATAGTGTATGATTTATTTTACATTACTTCTTAAATCCATAGTCTGGATTAGGAATACTTCTTGACTCCTTAATTCTGTTTCGATGACATATGACTGATATACAATATAATGTTAATTTCAGGTGTACAACATAAGGATTGGATATTTGTGCATATTGTGAAATGAATACCACAGTATTCTACCTAACATTTGTCACCACACCATTACAAATCAGTTACACAGTTACAGTATTTTCTTTCGTTAGTTGCCATTTCATGTCAATGGTGGTTTTCTTTGCTATGCAGAAGCTTCTTATTTTTCTGTAGTCCCACTTGTTTATTTTTGCTTTTGTTACCTTTTCTCCTGGTATCAATTAAAAAATAAAACATCACAAAAAACAGTGTCAAGGAGCTCACCGTCTATGTTTCCTTCTCGGATTTTTATGGCTGCAGGTCTTACCTTCAAGTATTTAATCCTTTTTGAGTTAATTTTTGTATGTGGTATAAGATAGGGGTCCCATTTCATTCTTTGGCCTGTGTCTGCCAGTTTTCCCAGCACCATTTATTGAAGAGACTGTCCTTTCCGCATTGAGAATTCTTGGATCCTTTGTTGTAAATCAATTGATCATATATGTGTGCATTCTTTTCATGGCTTTTTGTAGATTCATCCAAGTTTTGGGATTGTTTATTCTATTTCTGTAAAAAAAGAGCCTGACATTTTTTATAGGGATTGCACTGAAAGCTTTGGATAGTACAGACATTTTAAAAATCTCAATTGTAGGGCCAGCCGAGTGGCTCAGTTGGTTAAGAGCTCGCTCAAGAGTTTGAGCTCTGAGCAACAGCAGTTCGAGTCCAGCCCGAGCTGAGCAGCCGCTGAGCTGCCAATAGGTGGCAGGATGGCTCAGCTAAAAAAAAAAAAAAACACACACACACACAAAAACAACTCAATTGTCACAATCTATGGTCATGAATATATTTTCATTTATTTGTGTTTGCTTTAGTTTTTTTAATATCATAGTTTCCAGCATACAGGTATTTTACTAACATGATTCATCACATTGTTCAATTTGACTCTTTAATTCTATATGTAAGGGAATTATTTTAGAAGAGTTTAAAGAGCCAGCCTATTACCAAGGAACTGTTACTGAACAAAGTATATATATATTTACTCATTTAATTACACTTATAACAATAGATTATTCCAGACATCCAGTGTTTACACCAGCCATCATTTGGTTAATTAGAAATTCTGTTTTTGGACTGTTGGAGCTCCTTCTTTTGCTCGCCCTGCTCCAAATTCTTTGGGGTGTACTTTCTCTTCTAATAATGGGCCCTTGAGCCACTGCTTTCTGCTTGGGCCCACTTCTATTTCTTTAAGGTGTACTTTTTCTTCTAATAAACTGCTCTTTCACCACAAAAAAAAAAAAAAGAAATTCTGTTTTTGTTTACTAATAAGAAATTTGCCACTTGGGAAAATACTGAATTTTAGGAGATGTTTAATATATTTTATTTTCCATGCAATTTGTAGGCATTTTATATTTGTATTTAAAGTATTATTAATAATGATATTTCAGGTAAAGAGTCTACCAGATACCAAATTTTGGAGTGGATTGAAGAACCTAAAACTCCTCTATCTTCATGACAATGGGATTGCAAAGTTAAAGAATATATGTACATTATCCGCCTGTCCAAGCCTCATCGCCCTCACTATGTTTGATTGTCCAGTAAGTCTTAAAACAGGATATAGACATGTCCTTGTCAATAGTATATGGACTCTCAAAGCGCTGGATCATCATGTGATTTCTGATGAAGAAATAATTCAGAACTGGCATCTTCCTGAAAGATTCAAAGCATATAACCAACGGCTTTTCTTTCATTTCTCCCCTGCTTTGAAAAAGGTAAATGCTTTCATTAGGGTTTGTTTTAAATAAATTTATAGAAATAAAATTTTAACTTCTCAGGGCTATACCTAAATTATATAAAACTAATATTTTGCATCATTTATATAACATACAATATAGTAGTGAATACTTACATCTGAAATTTATAAAATGTTTATGTTTACTGCATGAAAATTGTTGAGCAGAAAAATACCAAATTGTAGAGAAACAACAACATATATATATATATATATATATATATATATATATATATATATTTGATCTCTGTTATGTTTTAATAGCTTTAAGTATATATGGCTTACATACTGTAAATTCTCCCATTTTACATGTATGATTCAATTATTTTAGTAAATTAACAGTACTGCATAACCATCCTCACAATCCAATGTTAGAAATTTCTACCACTCCAAGTTTCTGTCATTCACATTTGCAATTAATCCCTGCTCCCACCCCCAGTCCTAGGTAACCATTGATCTGTTTTCTGTCCCTATAAATTTGCACTTCTAAACATTTTATATAAAGGAATTATATAATATGTCATCTTTTGCATCTGCCTACTTTCACTTAGTGAGATGTGTTTGAGGTTCATTCATGTGGTAGCATGAATCAGTAGTTCTTTTTGATTGATGAGTGATATTTTATTACATGAAATATACTATATTTTCTTTGTCCATTCACCAGTTGATGGACATTTGGATTGTTTTCAGTTTTTCTATTATGAATAATGCTGCTATGAACACCTCCTTACATGTCTTTATGTATATACATAAATTTCATTTTTCTTGGGTAGATTCTCAGGAATGCAGTTGCTGGGATGTATGGTAAGTTTATGTTTAACTTGTTAAGACACTAAATTGCTTTTTAAGAAGTGGAAACCACCAGTGTATTAGAGTTCTAGTTTCTTTATCTCTGCAACCTCTTAGTATTTTCTCTTCTGCACTATAGACATTCTGGATGATGTGAGGTGGTATTTCATTTGTGGTGTTATTTTTTATTTCCCTAATGAGTAATGATGGGAAACATCTTTTCATCTGCTTATAACTATTTGTGTATCTTCTTTGCTGAAATGTCTATACAGATTTTTTGCCTATTTTAAAAGTGACTTGCTTGTCTTATTGAGTTGTAAGAGTACATATCTGGATATAAGTCCTTTATGAGATATATGAATCACAGATATTTTCTCCCAACCTGTAGCTTGTCTTTTCATTGTCTTAATGGTTTCTTTTGAAGTAGAAAAGTTTTGAGTTTTATGAAGTCTCATTTTATGAATTATTTTTTAAGTTTTTTTTTCTGTTGGATAAGAGTGTGTTTCTTCCAGGACCCATCAACTCCAAGTCAAGTTGCTGTCCTTCAATCTAGTTGTGGTGCAGCTCCAAGTCCAGTTGCCTTTTTCAATCTAGTTGCAGGGGGTGCAGCCCACCAGCCCATGGGGGAATTGAACCGCAACCTTGTTTTTAAGAACACACGTTCTAACCAGCTGAGTCATCTGGCCACCTGTCAGCAGCTCATGGCCGCTCAGCTCAAGGTGCCATGTTCAGTCTTAGTAGTGTGTGTGTGTGTGTGTGTGTGGGGGTGCAGTCCACCATCCCATGGGGGAATTGTTGTTAAGAGCATGCACTCTAACCAGCTGAGCCCTCTGGCTGCCCACCAGCAGCTAAGCAGCAGCTCAGCTCAAGTCAGTGTCTTCAATCTAGTTGTGGAGGGCACAGCTCACTGGCCCATGTGGGAATTGAACAGGTAACCCTACTGTTCAGAGCATGCGCTCCAACCAAATGAGCCACCCAGCTGCCTCTGAATTTTTTTATGGATTGTGTTTTTGGTGTTATATCGAAGACTCTGCCTAATTCTAGATCACAAAATATTTTCTCCTATGTTTCCTTTTATGTGTTTAATAATTATAGTTATGAAATTTAGTTCTGTGTTTTATCTTGAATGAATTTTTATGTGTGATGTGAAGTAAAGATCTAAGTTTATTTTTGCATGTTAATATTAATTTATACCAGTCCTATTTGCTAGAAAGATTATTCTTTCCCCCCCAAATTTTCTTGATATCTTTGTCAAAAATCAGTTGGCCATAAAAATGTTAAGAGCTAATTTCTGGACTCTCAGTTATGTTCCACTGTCTCTGTATCTATCCTTATGCCATTACCGCCCAGGCTTCATTACTGTAGCTATATAGTTACATTTTGAAATAGGAAAGTCTGAGCCTTCCAACTTTGCCTTTTTATTTTTTTAACACTGTTTTGGATATTCAGAGTCCCTTGCATTTACAAATGAATTTTAGTATGAGCCTGTCGATTTTGACAATGCTTCCTGCTGGGACAGTGATAAGGATTTCATTGAATTTATAGATCAATTTGTGGAGAATTGCCATCTTTACAATAGTGAGTATTCTTGTTCTTGAATGTGAGCTGTTTCTCAATTTATTTAGATGTCCTTTAATTCCCTCAGCAATGTTTTGTAGTTTTCATCATATTAAGTCTTGTACTGATTTTATTAAAATTTATTTTTTGGTGTTTTATTTATTCTGATCGTGAGTGGAATCATTCTCTTAATTTCATATTTGGATTGTTGCATATGCACACACACACTAGGAGGGCCAAAAAAATGTATACAAGTGGACACTTTGGTCAACGTTGCTCAAGCAGTGGTTTGCCGTAATCAGAAGTGTCTGGACGCTGATGGTAACCACTTTGAGCACCTCTTGTAATTGCAGAAGTCAAACGTGACTTGTATTATTCTTTTGTTATCGGTATATATTGAGTATTATAATTTTAATAGTATTTTTCCTTTCTTAAAATGTGTATATAGGGCCGGCCGAGTGGCTCAGTTCGTTAAGAGCATGCTCAAGAGTTTGAGCTCTGAGCAACAGCAGTTCGATGCCCGGCCTGAGCTGAGCTGCCGATGAGCTGCCAATAGGTGGCAGGATGGCTCCGCTAAAAAAAAAAATGTGTATACATTTTTTTTTGGCACCGTGTGTGTGTGTGTGTGTGTGTGTGTGTGTGTAATTGATGTTTTGATTTAGTCTTATATTTTGCCACATTGTATTTTCATTTCTTAGCTCTAGAAGTTTTATGTGGATTCAAAATATTTGCTTTTTAATTGAAAGTGGATCTTAATTTTTTCAAGTTTTCCTATTTGAATGAGTCCATTGAAAGATAGCTTTTTGGTTTTTTTTTCAATGCCTTACAGGACAATTTGGATTATTAACAGAAGATACAAATATTTGATTTTTAAATAATTTGGTGACACTGGCATATTCAATCATCATTTTATGTTGATTTTTATAATGTTCAAAGAAGTTATTGGGAAACCTTATCTAGGTCGAGGTTATAAAATACTTAGATAGATAAACATATAAGAAAAAAACTTAATGACATATGAATATTAGAACAAATACATTTTATGAGTTCAAAAGAGAGGTAGGTATTAGAAAAAATCAGATAGAAGATATAGGAAGTTAAATTATGCTGCAGAATAGTGTTTATTATGTATTCTAAATATATATAAATCTACATATAAACGCATTGAAAATTGATGAAGAATTCATTGAACAGTGGTGATCACATCAGAGAGGGTGTATAAATAGTGGTTATTCATGGGAAGGCTGGAGATTAGGAGGTTGGAAGACTTTTTATAATTGCATATGAGTCTTTATGTAAAAAGAAGTATATTCATGATTTTGTAATAATAGTTTTAAAAATTAAGGAAATAAAAAACAAGGCATTATTTATGTCTGACTGTCTTAACCTGGGCCCTAAAGGAAGAATTTCATTTAGGTATTCTCGTTGTGTGGTATGGTGTAATCTGAGGTAGGGACATTCATGACTCTTTTAAGGACAATCAAAATGACTGAGGTTTGTTTAAGGAATTAATGGAAAGTTCGGGGATGGTATTGAAAAGAACCTTGAATGACATACCAAGGCATTTAGACTTCTTAGTGCAATGAAGATCTATTGAAGTTATTTGAATAGGAAAATTAAAGTGGTTCTGTCATAGTTGGTGTTCTATGAATAAATGGTATTGACAAAGTTTTTAAAAAGAGATTAATCCAGTATTTTGCTAGCAGATTAATAGGGGTTAGGAGGCAGATAAGGGCTGAGGATGAATTACTGTAGGCAAGAAATTATATAAAGGTTGATATAGGCAGACAGCCAGTGGCCAAAAAGAAAGAAGACAGCATAGAGGGCAGACACTCAGTAAAAGCCAGTGTGGTATGCACTTTACATATTTTATTCCTTTGTTTCTTTACCAAATATACTCTGAGCACCTAACACATGAGAGGGATTATTCTGGACTCAGTGGCAAATAATATGATGAAGGCCCTGGTTTCATGAAGTTCAGTGGAAAGAACACGGGAAATAAAATTGTAAGCCAAAATGAAAAAAAGAAAAGAAAAGAAAACAAACATAGAATTCCAGATAGTGTTAATTTCTAAAGAAAAGAAAAGAAAGCGGTTACATAGGATGGAAGGAGTAGAGATTTGGGCTACTTTAGCTAGGGTGGATGGGGAAGGACTTTCTGAAAATACCTTATTCTTTATTATGTTCTTGGACTTGGAAAGGTATTACTCTTAATTCACAAAACATGATGTATAATGAGTTTTAGGAACTTATACGGTATCAGATGTCTGGTCAGTCATCTTAAAATCAAATAGTAAACTTAAGAGCAAAGGAAATTATCAGAGGCAGAGAAAGACAATATATAATAAGAATCGGTTTAAACCACCAAGAAGCCGTAGGAATTTTAAATGTGAATGCACCAAACAACAGAGCTACAAAATATTTGAAGCAAAAACTGATAAATCCAAAATTAAATATAGAGAAACACATGATCACAGTTGGAGACATCAAAACTCCTCTCTCAACAACTGGAACAACTAGACAGAAAATCAGGAAAGATATAGAAAAAATCAGCAACCCCACTGACCAGTAGAATTTAATTGACATTTATGAAACACTCCAGCCAACAACAGTAGAATATACATTCTTTTCAAG